GAGATACAAAAGCGGCACGTTCAGGTTCTGTACGCAGGTAGCAAAATGAAACGGTACATGGCCGCGCAAAAGCGGTGCGTATACAGCGTGACAAAGCTGTATGTACAGCGTATTGTGCAGCTTATACAGCGTATATATTCCGCACGAGCAGCGGCTACACCCCTCACCTAATCATTCACCATCTCGCCCAACCCTTGAGGTATACAAACGTCTATATAATAATACGCTGTATATACAGCTTCACGTCACCCTCAAAATCGTCCGGTTTGAAGGGGTTAAACAAGGTCCTATTGAATATATACCTAACAATGCTATCCCGTGATTGGAAATATCCTGTAGCACGCGCATGTAAGTACTACTTGCATGCGCGTAGGACACGATATTTGCCAAGTAGAACGATAGATTCGCACAGACAGTACATATGATCTGCACAGACAAAGAGGCATAACTACAGACAAACATAAGTGTGCACAGTAAAGCTGCCAGATGCTGTAATTCTACATATCTGTACAGGTTATGCACTGACTTAAGTTATCTTAAGTTGGGCCACAAAATCATAGAATCAGATAGTAGATGAGGGCGGCCCTAGCGTTTTGTTACGCACCCGGTGACGTATTGTAGTGGGTTTAGAGGTTGGATAGCCTCATACAGCTCGTGCAGTGGGCGGCAAGACAATCTCCAGATCGGCAGTGGCAGGGTTGCCACTGCTAACCTTCGAGTGAATGGCTGGTTGAGAGGCTTGCTGGCCCGAGCTGGCAGATAGCGTAGTGGAATAGAAAGAGTAACAGTTTGTGTTTTGCTTAATACACCAGGCAAAGACGGAAGGGAGTACCAGCTCCCCCATTTTGGTGTTCATTTGCGAGACCCACCACACGTATGAAACTCAACTGAAAGAAGTGACTCCTATAACCGGAGTGGCATAACAGCGTGGGGCCAGATCGGGTAGGCTGCGGGGTGGGCAGTGTATAGAAGGAGACGAGTGCGACTTGTTGTACGTGCGTACGGACTGGAGATGATAAAAGCTATGTCGCTCCATGAACGTCGCGTTGTTCCTACAGCTCGTAAGTGCTATGTGAGACGGGCGCTGATGAGCACAGCGGGGCTGTGCCAACTCTACGAAGGTATCGATCTCGTGATGATGCAGAGAAGACTGCGCTGAGCCAGCAAGACGTTCAAACTGTATCGATGGGTGGAAAGCCTGGCTGTGTGAACGAATGAGTAGATGCCGAGTACTTATTGACTACACTCGTTACAGGTCGATCGATTGTGGTGGACCCCACAAAACAACTGTAACCCCAGAAATGATAACGTATATTCTTCAGCAAGACGAATGGGCAGTTCCACCGCAGCTCATTTAGAGTTGCATGCGGTGGTCGTCAGATATCCTACAACAAAAGCGAGGGTATCCTAGTCTAGCACAAGCCACCAACTGTGCAAAGATATTTTAGTCGTCTTCAGGGCACGGAAAATCCAATTCAAGATGTCCGTCAGATAGTTCGCCAGAACCCATTTGATCCAACTGACGATCTAATCCGTGCGTTTTGTTTTGGCCACTACTAGAATGAGAATGCTGGCAAAGATACAGATTCGGATTTGCTCCTTGTAGTAGTTCTGAGTCTTGCACTTATCAGTACGTACATTGAGTACCCCCCCCCCTCGAGCTGCTTCACGCTCTTTCCCGCCGATTTTACGTTCAAGCGGAGCGGCCTATGGTATCCAGTCATCATGGATGGCTTTTCAAACGTTCCACGCCACAGATCTTTACTAAAGAAGCTTTTCTTGAATAGGTAACCAACATTCCAATACTTTGAAAGCTCTTGAAATTAACAAGACATGGATATTACCGATTTAATTCTGTCTGAAAACTATTAAGGCATCAGTCCGCTTACAGTCAGACGACACGCAGCAGCAGCGGTCACAGCGAGAGCACATTCGGGCACCCTCAGTCCACCATCAGCGGAACACACTCAGACACCCAGCACCGGCAGACACAGGCGGGAGCGCCAGCCAACTTCACTCGGGATATCAAGCACGTGGGCAGTAGCCTACACCTGTAGGTTTGAGTTGAGTACTTGCTTCAATACGATATGTTTGTGTGGCATTTATTTGAGAAACTGAGTTCACATCTGTGGAATTACCTTATATAAATTTGTGCTTTTGCGTAAGCTGTCTGTGCAATTCTCTATTTCTCGCATGCAAGTTGTTCCCAAAGGCACCAGAAACGGTGCTAGGCTTGGCCTGCACGACATTTTGCGCTGCATCTTGTTTACAACGGGGCAGCCGCTCAGGCACGCCGACGACACATAGTACACTCCCACCACAAAACAACGCACACATACGATGCACAAACGCGCAAAATACTCACGAAACATCTACTACACACGTCATCTCACAAACTCCACGACGTACGCTTTCCCAACCTCTTGACAGCGTCAAGCACGCTCCGCTATCACCACAAAATGCCCCAATCCTACATTTG